TTTTGATTGTAGGTACGCTCTATGTTTTCATACGTAAATACTGTTACGTACCTACGTATTTAGTAATTAAGTAATAACAATGTACGACGTAGCGCAGGTTTCTAATAGTACTCGACGATATAATTAATAAGGCAATTAGTATATTATAACACGTTAGGGACACTGTAAAAGTATCTCTCTAGGAAAGTCAACTATTCATACGAAGGATACGAGTCGACCAGCATACCAAGTACGAGACCCGGACGCAGTCTCATGACCGAATTTGGCCATTGATACAACCACCCACTCCAAAGGACTCGATCATATAAATACCAGCCCGGGACAAGAGCTCGGCAGACGGTTAGGGATACTCAAGACATTTGGAGTCAGGTCATAACACCGCTCACATCTCCACCATAGCTTATATACATTGTAATTTTGTACTTAAATAAATACTCATAATAACCTATTGCATCAAGTATTCATTTCCACGTTGATGTATATATCGACGTCAGTTGGGACGCAACAATACGAATGTCATGTGAAAATGAAAATATGATATTAATATATTATCCAAATATTTCTACAACGCGATTAGGGTCTACTATAATAGATACAGTATTCGCAAGATACATTTAAGGCATTCAATCTATTTTATACGTTTCTTATTTCAGTTACCATGGACCGATTAATTTCCTTAAAGAACTTCCAAAACAAAATGTTCATTATAAAAATAATAATAAATGTTAATAATAATTCTATTAAAATGTCTAGTATAGGCTATAAAAAGAAAACTTCTATGAATTTTTAACTGAAAAAAAATATGAGAATTTTCAGAATTTTGTAAAAAATTGAACTTTAAATTAACTTAGAAATAATTTTGTTTATGTATCTTTAATATTTTTATCAATGATTAAATCATTTTATGAGACCCCTTGCGTTAAATTTACAATTCGTTATAGTTAATATTTGCTTTAAAATACCGCAATTATTTGGGTACTTATGCATTGAATCCTATGGTTTTTTGGTAAGATGTTACATGCCTATTTTTGATTACATGTAGTGTGATGCGGCATTGCCTTTTATTATGCATAATTTAAAATTAAATAGTAGTCATGTACGTTCAGCGGAAGCACGTGCTGGACAGTACACGTTGAGTTTTACGTCGTTCACGTCTCAGCAAAAACCTCCTCATAAATCGTTGATTTCCAAATCTCGTCACCCGATTGCACCAAACGTCCTAGCAGCTAATACCAGCTCATCCACCTTGGTTACCTGTCCATTATGTACAAAACCACTTACGGTCCGAAAGTGTCCAACGTTTCTTTCAAAATCACCAAATGATCGTTTCCAGCTAGTCAAGACGCATCGTTTGTGCATAATTTGTCTGGGCACACGACATTCTATATCATCATGCACTCCAAAATACAAATTCACAACTTTTCATCGGTCTTATAATAGTTTCCATCCTCGTCCACGGTTCTGTCAGCAGACCAAACAGGGGCTGGTCAGAGTGCCAAAGCAATGATTATCAGAGGACAGCCCCAGAACGTAGTCCTACTCTCTACTGTCCTACTTGACGTGGTTGCTGCTGACGGCACCCGTAATTCGACGTCCAGTAATTTGACGCAGGGTAGTAGACAGAACTGCCTCTAGTTTTGCCCAGCTGCTATTAGAAACTTTGCCGTCCATGCAGGTCCCGCAAAGGTCAGGATAGGTCTGATGTAGGTTTTGAACATATGGAGTTTAGAAATGGTCGATAGAGGACTGCGTTTGTTGATAAGGGGAAATAGGGAATGTTTGGCACCTTTAGCCTTGTTCTTGCGTTTTCACGTGTGTGGCAAAAGATAGCTCTTTATCTATGGTGACCCTTAGGTACTTGATGTTCTCAACTTTCCTTAGCGACGTCGAGCGGTCGGCTCGGTCTGCCGATCCAAGCTGTACCCTCATTCTAGGAGGCGACTTCAACGCCTGGTCACAAGAGTGGGGCTCGGCGCAGAACGACGCAAGAGGCGATCAACTGGCTGATCTGGCAGCCAGCTTGGACCTCCTCGTCGCGACTCGGGCACAACTCCTACCTACAGGAGAGTAAACTCTGCGACCATCATAGATGTCACCTTCTACCGCACCCGACCACCCTCCGCTCTTCGAGGATGGAAGGTGTTGGACGAAGTCGAGTCGGCGAGCGACCACAAGTACATTTAATTCCAGCTACAACGGGCTCCTGTAACACACGATCCCCCGGAGCGACTCAGAGGGTGGTCCTACAGACGTCTGGACACGGTAGCTCTGGCCGCTCATATGGTCGCCTTCCCAACTCCTCAAATCAACGCCACTACAACCGCGGACGAAGCTGCCGACCAGATGGTTACGTACCTCTCTGCAGCTTGCGACTCCTGTATGCCACCCAGAGCCCCGCCTCCCGCAGGCAGGAAACAGGTCCACTGGTGGAACGAGGGAATAGCAACGCTTCGCGCTGAGCACAGCAGGTCCCATAGATGCTACCACAGGGCGGCCCGAAGACGGGAGCCCCCCGAGCAGATGCAACTTCTCCGCGAAGCGTATACAGCTAAGAGGAAAGAGCTCCGAACGGCAATAAGAACCACCCAGGTTAAGAGCTGGTCCGACCTTTGCGCCGCCGTCAACGCTGACCCTTGGGGACTTCCGTACAGAGTGGTGACAAAGCGCATAGGCCGCAATCGCCCGGGAACTGAAGCGCGAGGCAGGGAGTCCGCAATAGCTGACCACCTCTTCCCGAATCACCCTCCCACCGACTGGCAGCTCACCCCGCTCCCACCAGAGGATCCAGAGGACGACGAACAACGAGCGCAACCGTTCACCATGCCAGAACTGCTGCTAGCCTGCAAGAGACTTCTTCCCGGCAAGGCAACCGGACCCGACGGCGTCCCAAACGAAATCCTCGCCAAAATAGCAGCGGCCAGGCCCCGCGTTCTTCTTGATGCCTTCAACACCTGCCTAGAGAAAACCACTTTTCCCATCGGATGGAAGCAGGCGAGGTTAGTACTCCTGCACAAAGGACTCGGAAAGCCAACGACAGAACCGTCTAGCTACAGACCACTGTGTATGTTGGACTCGGCCGGCAAGCGTTGGAGAGGCTGCTACTGTCAAGGCATTGAACAGCACCTCGACCTTACCGGCCGCCCGTCTCCCAATCACTACGGCTTTCGGTCCGGCAGGTCAACAGGAGACGCGATCGAGCGGCTCATCGAGACTGCCCACGGCGCGGCACTAGGCGCCGTCCAACAGCGGGATCTGTGAGTCGCGGTCTCACTCGACGTAAGGAATGCCTTCAACACCGCACCTTGGCTGCTGATAGACGCCGCGCTCCGGGGCAACCTGGTTCCCCCCCGACTAATCTCGATGATCAGATCCTACCTCCAGGACCGCTCAATCCTGGTTGGCGATATTCTGCTCCAGCGCGATATGACTTGCGGCGTTCTCCAGGACTCAGTACTCGGGCCAGCTCTCTGGAACGTGTTCTACGACACCCTCCTAGAGCTGGAAATGCCACAAGGCGTCCAACTCGTCGCCTTCGCCGACGACGTCTGCGTCCTGGGAATCGCGAGGACCAGCCAAACATCCACCACTCTACTAAACCCTGCCCTCGACACGGTGTCGACGTGGATGCGGCGCAACGGCCTCCAACTTGCTCCGCACAAATCCGAAGCAATAGTCCTCCCAAACAAAAACAAATATGACGACCTCGAGCTGCTCGTCGATGGACACGCCGTACCGGTCAGCCGGAACATGCGTTACCTCGGCGTCGACCTAGATTCGCGGCTGATGTTCACCAAACACATAGAGCAGGCGTCATGCAAAGCGACGGAGTCCGCACTAGCCATCGACAGGCTGATGCCCAACCTTGGGGGACCATCGCAGAGCAAAAGAGCGCTCCTAGGCACAGTGGCCATCAGCAAATTGCTCTATGCGTCCCCGACGTGGGCCGCTAAGGGCACCAAGACAGCCAAGAACCGGGCCGAAATGGATCAGCGAAGGGTGGCTATCCGAACCGTCAGAGCGTACCGCACCATCTCCAACGAAGCGTCCTCCGTTATCGGCTCAATGGTCCCGGCCGACCTGCCGGCCAACGAGAGGGCGAGGATTCGTCAACGATCCAGACGAAATGTGCTCAACAGTAACAATCCGAGGACAGGAGAGGACCATATCCGTAACTGCCTGGCAATCTCGATGGGACCGATGCAGATTGACCACGGTGACATGGACTCACCGGCTGCTGCCCTACATCGCACGCTGGCTGGCGAAGCCCACGATGAGCCTCACATACCAGCTGACGCAGGCTCTATCGGGGCACGGCTGTTTCCGGAGCTACCTGCTGAGGTTCAACCGGGCCGACGACAACTACTGCAAACCCCGACGACACGGCGGAGCATACGCTCTTCACGTGCCCCAAGTGTGAGGACGAACCGGCCGTCCTGTCCAGGATTCTTCGACGTCCACCAGAGCCTGGGGACGTGCAGGAAATCCTGTGTGGCCCTCGTCCCGACGACCTAACCGACAGCCCGGTGATGGTGGAAACAATTATGAGCACGAAAGAAGCGGACGAACGGGAGGACGAACTGATGTCAGCGCACGACGAAGAACGGCTCGCAGACACTATTTGACTTCGCAACAGCGATACATCGGAGGTGTCACAGACCACCGTTCTTCATCCCCCCACCAGTGACAACATGGGCGGGACGGCGGTCACGGCATCGCTGCACCCAAGAGGAGAACGAGACTACAAGGGCGACGGACTCCGGTCGGCCCGCCAAAAGGATAAAACAGAACGAGTATCCAGAGCGGTGGACTCCACTCAGCTCCGGAAAACAACGATCAACATTCATAACCTGTATAAAAATTGTTAATGTCATGTAAAAGAGGGGGGTTAAGTCGGGGTATTGTCCCGTCTACCCCCCTCACGTATGTATAATTATTTGATTTATTGATTTTTTCAAATAAACGATGGCGGCGCCGTCGGTTCAAACACAAAAAAAAAGGTACTAGATGTTATTTGACCATTTGATTGGAGTGTCACCAAATTTTACGCAATCTCCCGCCCGAGTCTGCTTGTTGCTGAACATATTGGCCGAGGTCTTGAGTGGATTGATTGATATTTTCCACTGATGGAACCATTCGATCGAGAGATCAATCTGGGCCTGAAGGTTTTTAATCGCACACGATTGGGATATACTATCAGCATAAAATAATGTGTCGTCAGCGAAAAGGGCAATCTTAGCTTTGGAGGATAATGGCTTATTGTTGATGAATACGGTGAATAGGTGAGGAGCGAGGCAGGACCCTTGAGGGACTCCGGCTATTATGGTCCTGGGGGAAGATTTAGTATCGTCGATTTTTATGTAGAATTTCCTTTCTTTGAGAAATGACTGAATGATGGACACCAGCTGTTGAGATACCTGCATAGCCAGAAGTTTGAATAAAAGGCCCTCGTGCCATACCTTATCAAATGCTTTTTCTATATCAAGAAGAGTTACTGCTGTTTTTAGCCTTCTGTTCGTATTATCTGTTATGTTGTCTATGAAGTTGACTAGTTGAATTTCAGTACTGTGCTGGGGGCGAAAGCCAAATTGCTCAGATCTGATTTGATTTTTAAGTATGGACAGTAAGAGTGTTTCGTATAGTTTACCCATCTTGTTCAGGAGAGATATAGGTCTGTGGTTGGTTGGGAGTTTTGAGTTTTTTTTCGGCTTAGGAATCATAATTATATCAGCAATTTTCCACTGTTTAGGAAAATAGTCTAGACGAGTTCAAGAGTTGAATATTTTGCTCAAGTTTCCCCCCCCCGCGTTTGAGAGCATAATTAGATATAAGGTCAGGCCCAGGGGCGCTTTTGTGGGGGAGTTTGCGAAGAGTGTTCCAGATTTCGCCTGGAAAAAAGATGTTTTTGTCATAAATCGAGTTTGAGTGCTGTTCCAGGGTGTCTTGTACTACTTTGTCTACCCAAGAAGTACTAGCCAGAGGAAAAAATTGTTTTTCCATGCTTGAAGCAAAGATGTTGGCTTTGTCAAGTGAGTCATAGTGGAGGAAACCATTATCGTCCTTGAGCGGATGATAAGTTGGAGATTTCCTGAGAAGTCGTCTATTGAGTTTATAAAGTCGGGACCATTGTTGGGGACCGACATCCATTGAGGACAGGAAATTGGACCACTCTTCATCGTGATTTGATTGTAGGAGATCGCTGACTAAACGATTTTGTCGGTTGACGTGGTGACTTGGCGTTGTAGACGGATTATTGCAAAGTTTTTCGACGTGTTGCTAGAGCAGAACATGGTGTCGTCGGCAAACAATGAAGTAGTAACATGAGGTGAGGATGGGATTTCGTTGATGTATAGAATGTATAATAGGGGACAAAGGCATGACAACTGTTGATCTGTCGTGCCACACTCTGTCGAACGCTGTCACCATGTCCAAGTATATGGCAGCCGTGTGTCTGTTATTGTTGGTATTCATTACCAGGTCGTCGATTAGTTTTGTGAGTTGTGTAGTCGTCGAGTGTCCTTGTCGGAAAGCTTGTTCTGTTCTTGGCTTGATATTTTTGTTGTGATGGCTTAGTAGAATTTTTTCAAATACTTTTGACATCGTGACGAGAAGTGATATTTGCCTGTAGTTGTTTGGTAGGCTGTGGTTTTTGTTAGGCTTCGGAATCATGACGATCGTGGCAGTTTTCCAGTAGGTCGGAAAATAGGAGTGTCTGAGACAAGATGTGAGTAAGTTGCTTAGTCTTACGATGGCAGAGGCTGGAAGGTGCTTTAGTGCAGCGTTTGTAATGTTGTCGTGTCCAGAGGCTTTGGCGGATGGTAGAATTTCAAATACTTCCTTAGGGGTAGTGAATAGGTTTGCCTTTGCGGAGTATCTGTTGAGTTCATTGATTGATCGACTGACCTCCAAGAGCTCATTAGGAGGGTTGGCGGTAAACTGATCTTTCATTGTATCGGCAAACAATTCCAGTTTGGATTCAGTGTCGTAGATTTTTTGACCGGATTTTGTCGTCAACGGGTTGGAAGCTGGCTTATTGTGAAGTAGACGACAATTTAATTTGTAAAGTGATCGATCTTGGAAATTTAGTGTGGATGTGAAACGGTCCCATGCTAATTGACGATGTTCTTTGAGGAGGTTTCGGACATACACTATTTGGGCGTTTAGCATTGTCAAGACTGATAGATCCCTAGTGCGTTTCCAGTCTTTCCTTAAGTTCCGTTTGGTGGCAATCTCAAGTAGGATATCGAGGGAGAGTGCCTCTCTGGTTCGAGGTTTGTTAATGAGGTAGGAGCAATTTTCGGTTGATGACTGGATGAGTGTGGTAAATGAATCAACCTCGTTGTCGATTTTTGTTGGGTTTGATAATTTGGTCGTCAGTTTTGGAGATTTAAGCGATAATTCCTGCTCAAATTGCTTCCAGTTGATTCTTTTTCTGGCAGTTGGAGGGTTGATTGTAATAGGAGAGTCGATTATAGTCATAACAATTGAGTTGTGGTCTGACGTTAGTTCATTATGATGAGTAAGTACATACTCTCTGTGAGGGAGGTTTACAAGTACTATATCCAGGATCTCTGGCCTGTGTAGTGAATTGTAGGAGTAGTGTGTTGGGGAGTCAGGTGCGCAAATGGAGTATGTGTTTGATGTTTCCATATGTTGGTGGAGAATTCTGCCCTTCTGGTTTGTAGTGCGACAGTTCCAAGACTGATGTTTTGTGTTAAGGTTGCCAGCTGCTAGAAAGAGGCCGTTCTGATTTGTTAGAATGTTCAGGTCGTTGGTTGGCAAGGGAGAATTTAGATTTTTGTACATAGAAGTTATACGGACTTGGTCATTTACAAGTTTGGTTGTGACTGTAGTTGACTCAAGGGAAGTCTTGATGTCCTCTTGGTTGTGTATTATGTTTTTGTGGACAAGTATGGTTGTACCACCCCCTGATGGGGATCTGGGTTTTGGGGGGCGGTCTTGACAATAGGTAAAATAGTTTGGGATCTTGATTATGGTTGATGGGTTTAATTTAGTTTCTTGGAGAAGAATGATGTGTATGTTGTTGAGACGTGCGAAGGTGTGTAGTTCGTTGTTTTTGTATTTGATGCCATTACAGTTCCAAAAGAGAATATTAATGATATTCATTTTGGGCTGAGAAATCTGTGATGATTGACATGGTGGTGTTTATGATGGAATCTTTGGTGGAGGCGGCCTTACACTCATGAGCTGAAGCTAATAGTTTATGCATTATAAACAGTACTTTGGTGGCCGTTATAGAAGGTTTGGTTACTGCTGGTTTTTTACCACTGGTGACTTCAGCGAATGATGCTTTTGGGTGGGTCCGAGATGATGTGTTGTTAAGACATGTAGATGGTTCAGGCGGAGTTGGGCGATTGGAGTTTGTTATCGCGGCTTTGAGGATTGCTGGACTGGGCTTCTTTTTGTTTCATAAGGTTTATGGAGAATTGGCATCTGCGATAGTTAGCGACGTGAGCGCCACCGCAGTTGCAGCATTTGGGCGCGACGTCGAGAAGTTTGATGCACGAGTTTGAAGCATGGGTGTCGCCACGCTTGACACATCTTGAAGAGTGGCCGCATTGGAGGGAGGAGTGGCCGAAGTTTTTTCATTTGTAGCATTGTGCTGGACCAGTTGATTGATACAGCTCGATTTTGACGTTGATAAAGAAGAGTTTAGATATTTGGGATATATCTTTAGCTTGTTCGAAGTTTGCAAGAGTAACCATATGTAGAGGAATTTTGTGGCCGTTTTTTGAGAAAGCTCTGATAAATGTTGGTTCAAAACCATTGGATTTGAGTTCATCGATTATTTTTGATCTGTGATATCAAGAGGAATGCCTTTGATGACTATTTTTAGTGTGCTTTGGCTAGGAAGTGCATGGGTGTGGAACCCTACTTTATCTTGAATGGATGCGAGAAAAGATTATACTGAGCGAAAATCGGCTTCGTCGGGGCAGTTCAGATTGATTTCGTTGAGTTTAGAGGCGGTACTTGCTTCTACATATTCGTGTCCGGGTAGTTCATAAATACTTTTGGCTATTGTGTGCCATGAGTACTCAGGTTTTGTCGTCAGGAGTCTTTTTGGTATGGGCTGATGGTCGTTTGTAGAGGACTGATGACTGCTTTCATCGTCTTCTGTGGTTGTCGACCGAAATGAGTCTTCTGATAAAGTTTCTTCGGCAACAGAAGGCGAAGTTGGAGAATAGCGTTGGCTTATTGGTGCGATGCCTGGGATAGTTTGCGATATGGAAGGTGGTGAGAATGTTTGGTTGTGTCCTTTCTTTACGGTGTTGTTTGGAGGTGTGGATCTGCGTTTGCGTTGACTGCGATTGCCACGGTCTGTCATGATGTGGGAGTCCTTCGCTTCGGTGCGAGACCCAGCCATGTCACCCCTTAGGTGACTTGCCTCGTAGTCGAGATGGGGGGGATGAGTAATGAATTTTCTACTTACGAAGGTGGGTGTTTCGCTGGATGTCTGGAGAGTACCATCTGCGGTAGCTTCAAACATCCATGGTTTTTAATATTTTTGATATAAACGTTCATATAAAGTCAATTTTGACAAAAAAATATCTATCCAACAATAATAAGTATTATTTTTACAATCAATATTTTTAATTTTTAAAGTCACTACATCGTTTGTGTGTTTAGGTACACGTTTTTATCAATGTATATATTTTTTACAGTATAGATTAATGGGGAAGCATAAAATAATGCAAATATTTGGTACCATGATGCAGAGTGTTTAACGTATAATAAATTATATTATAATTCAATTACGAATGACCCACTTTCAATTAATATTACACTTTAGAAGTTTCAAGTAGGTACCCACGAATAATATTATATAATCACAACAAAATAACTAAGTTTTTATGTCCCTAAACAGTTAAAAATAAATCAAAATATTTTGAAAATGTTATCGTGTATAGAAAATGCAAATATAAACAACCAGTAAAAATGTCATGTACCTAACCAAAGTACCAACTCGATTCACTATCCTATCAGAAAAGATACTGTTGAAAACAATCCAAGCACTTTTACTGTCCTAAAACGTGATGACTAGGGGCCGGAATTATATTCTTTTAAAATAGCCAAAATAAGATGCTAATATTCTCTAAAAAAGTTGAAAATATTCTTCCAATATTCTTTAAAAATCATAATAAAATATGCGAAAAATGTGCTTTTTTATGAATATATTCTCTTGAAATAAAAATATTCATTTATATGCAAAATAGTACAAAAAAAACTGATATAATTAAGTAGGTATATGATAAAAAGTAATATGCAAGACGCAAGTATATGATAAAAAATAATATGCAAAAATTAGCAAAATAATACATGTTAAAAAAGAATTGATTAAATTATATTAATAACAATAATGTATTTTTAATTACGACAATTTTTGAAAACAGTTAACAACTATATTTTGCTGCATGTGTTCTGGTGTCATATTTGTACAACGGTCTGTTAATATATTTTTATAAGTGCTAAATGAACGTTCAATGTCAACTAAAGTCAAGGAAGCATTTTGAAAATCAGTAATTATAAAATTATTATAAGTGAAAAATTGTCTATAAGTTGAACTTCATTATTTCCATTCAAAACTTTAACTACGTTTTTCAAAATGATGAGCCCTTTATTTTTTTGTTGAAGTTGATCAATTTTTATTTTTATTTTATTTCCATTTTTCTCGATTTATCGAATCAACAAGAGACACATTAGATTTTTCCAAACTTTTGATGTATGTTACGAGAACAAAAAAAAGGGCTTAATAAATATTAGATCGTTTTCTATGGTTTCTATGTCAAAAAATGTGTTACATTTAAGTACTGACTGACTGGGAGATTTTTGACTACTTAATTCTTCGGAGTAGAACGGTGTCTGACGGTGAGACACTGCAGTGTTGTACCGTACATGTAGTAATAATCGAACGCCTGGAGCTAAATATTTTTAAAGTGTCGTAATAATTCCATTTCTTGTCGGGCATCGTTATCTTAGATAAGTCACTTATCTACTACAGAATATTACAGTACATTACTAATTAAGGCATGCTTACGATGGTTATAATACGTATATAATGTATCAATATCATATCACTATTATCGGACACATAATTTATATTATGTACGCCACTGCAACAAAAAATATCGAATATCTATAAAAATTAATCGATATATTCTCAAATATTCTTTATTGTACGAAATATTCTTTTATCTTGAAATATTCTCAGATATGCTAAAAAAACTGTTGCCATTAATTAACCGGTTTCATGATTTGTAAAGATTTCGAACCCCCGTCTGACTGCATAGCCTCAAAAAAAATATGCAAAAGAATATAATTCCGGCCCCTAGTGATGACAAACACAAAAAATAAAAAAAAAAAAAAAAAATAAAAAAAAAACACACATCATTGTAAAATCAATACATTCATCGTTCCACTCAGAATCCAAAAACCTAGAATAACTATTTATTAGTTATTTTGTTGTGATTTTGTAATATTATTCGTGGGTACCTACTTGAAACTTCTAAAGTACACTATTATATATATCTATGGAGTATGGACTATGATAGTATCAGGGTTTGTTGTTGACGTATAACGCATTATAAGTACCTACAGTGGCGTAGCCAGAATTATGAAATATTGGGTGTTTATGTATAGATTAAAACAAAGTTATTGCAGTTTTCGTATATAAATAAATTTAAGGTTCGGGACTTGACTTGTTGCACTAAAAATTATCGAAATATGCAGTAAACGTTTTCAAAATATGCTTAAATATATGCAGCTAAATTTTTATATTATTTTTGAAAATTCATAAAACAAAATACAATTTTTGTAATAAAAAACTAAAAAATAAGTGGGTATATAAACATGATAAAAATAATTTAAACACGGGTATACAAATATTTTAATATAGGTAGGTACCTATAGGTACCTATATATTGATTAATATGATGGACGGAGGACACAGCTATTGCATGTTTTGGACATTTTTAAACTACCTAACTACCTATTGTTAAATAAAACTTGATTTTTGAAAATACTGGCATAAAATACTAGGTTAATAAATAAGTAATAACGAGTAACGTGATATGCGACCCCGTGATAAACGAACACGTATCTACTGATTTTCATTTCTTCGTACAATCTAGAAACTAGATGTCAGTTATAGTTTTAACACAGTCTTGTCACAAAGAGACTTATAAAATTTTACGTACCATATCCATATGCGAAAATAGGGCCAACCGTAGCCTAGCTTCACCAACAACTTTAACAGCCCTCCCAAACATTTACTAAAATTTTTTAAGCTTATTCAATTTTATAATAGTATGATTTTAGGCTTCGGCTTTCCCAAATCTCAAAATTAGCTCCTATTGTACCTAACCAAACATATTATTTTTAAAGATATTTTTCAATGTTATCCAAATATGATTTTTCCCGACAATTGTATGTAAGTACCTACATTTAAGTTAAAAAAGTTCAATATATGCATAAATATACGAAAAATCGCTCAAATGTACACTTTTCCTATACAATATGCAAAAATATGCAAATTCAAACATCGTGTGATAAGACAAAAAAATTTCATAAGACAAATTTATAACTTATCTAAAATAACCTACTACCACTACAATAAAACATGCAAGGAGTCCCGAACCCTATAAACAATATATTTATTAGTAATGGGGAAATGTCAATGGGGGATGTTTAAACACCCAAAACCCCCCTGGCTACACCACTGAGTACCTAATGGATATTGTGATATGATTAATTTGGAATTTATTATAGGTACCTATTTTACGTAATTTTTTTTTAATACCATAGATAAATATATAATATGTCTTATACCTAGACTGACATACAGTCTCCGCTCAGAATCGTTTTTCTTATACAATGATATAATATCATTGAATTCAAATTTAATACTGTCCATTATACAGTGACCCACTTGTAACCTACTGTACAGCAGAGAACCTTTTGGATTCTGAGTGAAACGATGAATGTATTGATTTTACAATGATGTGTGTTTTAGATTCTGAGTGGAACGATGAATGTATTGATTTTACAAGGATGTGTGTTTTTTTTTTTTTTGTGTCTGTCATCACGTTTTAGGACAGTAAAAGTGCTTGGATTTTCTTCAACAGTAGGTTTTCTGATAGGAAAGTGAATCTAGTTGGTACTTTGGGGGGTCAAAAGTAAAAATTTCCCAATAGTTTTCACAAGCGCCGGGAAAAATTTAAAGATCGAATTTTGACAAAATTTATCAAATTTAAAATTGAATAATTATTTTATAGTTAAAAATGTATATAATGTTCAACTTTTATATCCAAAGATTGAAAATTTAAAACAAGATACCACGTAAGTGGATTCTGTTACCAAAAAACCTAAAAAAATACATAATCACAGTTTATTTTTATAGTCATTTTAAGTTCAACTTTGGACAAAATTACATAAAAAAAAACCTATTTTTTTAATACGATAAATAACTAATAAGTATAATATATTATGTCTTATACCTAGACTGACATACCGTCTCCACTCAGAATAGTTTTTCTTATACAATAATATTATATCGTTGAATTCAAATTTAATACCATCCATTATACAGTGACCCACTTGTAACCTACTGTACAGCAGAGCCCCTTTTTTAGCTTTTTTTCTATAAATATCAATAAAATTGTATTTGTTGGATACAAAAGCTAAAAAATTTAATAGAAGGCTTCTAATATATTGTTTCAAACACGGATGCAAAATATTAAGTATCCATTACAATTTTTTTTGTAAGCATTTAAAGTTTAAATATTGACAAAGACGTAAAAATGACGAAAATTTGCAAATTATTTTGAGTTAGAAATTCATAAAAATTTTTCTTTTTAAATTTAAGATTTTAAAAAGTAATATAAGATTCCTTATAAGATTATCTACCTTATAAAAAAAAAAATGTCTATAAGAAAGTCAAATTAAATTTTTATGAGCGTTTGAAATTCAAATTTTTACAACATTGGATATTCACTCGATTTCTCATGTAGCGATTTTCTTATTTTGTTGTAATTCCAAAACGAATAACTGTAGATACATGAAAATTGCACTAAATGTTTATTCCATCAATTCTTATACTTGATAGAATTTTCAAAATATTTTTACTTGTTTCGAGCTGTTTACGGACATTTTCAGTTTTCAAATGTTTTAGTTTTTTATTCTATAATTATCAATAAAGTTGTATCTGTTGGGCCAAAAATTGTAAAAATTTAATACAAGGTTCCTGATATATTGTTACAATATCAGTTGAAAAATATTATAAATACATACACACAATTTTTTTTATAAATATTTAAAGATCAAATTTTGACAATATTTGTTAAATTTAAAATTGAATAATTATTTTGTAGTGAAAAATTTATAAAATGTCTAAATGGAATTTGTATTTGGTATTTTTTACGTTTGTACAAAACCCTTGGTATTTTATCTTTATTTTCTTTACACACAGCTTCAGTGTAAATTTGAATTTTA